GCGTGGATTTTTCTCTGGCTCCTCCGGTTTTCCCCCACCAGATTTATAATCGCGCATTCCGAATATTTGGCTGCGATAAATTTGCCCGTGACGATAAGCCACTCCGTTGAGCGATCATTTTTGTGGCCAGGTCGCCTCTGAAAAGGAGCTGTATAGTTCAGTGGGCCTCACCGCGTGCGCGTGGGCAGCATTGCGTAGCTTGTGCGGATAATAGGATTAGGCGGATAATAGGTTCCGAGTTTTATTGTAGTGGGAGGCAATCCTCTTGATGGGTTGGGGTGTGGTTGGCGAGTCGACCGTCCCTCTTGAACCCTTTTTTTGTACGTCTCTCTCTCGTTTGCACGGAGCGTGCTGTAAACAATAAACAATAATTACCCTCGACTAAATTAGTTTCACCACCCCCCGCAAATTAATTAACCAATCCGGGAGTAAAATCACCGTGAACAAGGACCTGTAACCGAAAGCCTGGTCCTGCGAGCAATTTTGCTCGCCCCCCAGAGTAATCTCGGCACAGCGAGCGCAAGCAGCGCACCACCACCACCGCCGCCGCCGCCGCCGCCAGCGCCGCGCGCACGTAGCTGCCGGGACCAAACCCGTTACTTGCCCTGCATTTTGAAGAAGAAAAAAACTGCCCTTGGAGACGGGCACACGTAGAACGAGCCCCCCCCCCACCCGGTTGTAATGCTGCGTCGTTGTCGCCACCATCGTGGTTATCTTTCTAATCATCGTCGTCGTCGTCAACGTCGTCAACGTCGTCATCATCGTCTTCATCGTCATCATCTTCTTCATCATCATCGTCGTCATCATTGTCATCTTCCTCATGGTCGTGGCCATTGTCATCGTCTTCCTCATCGCCGTTATCATTGTCATCATCGTCGTCATTGTCGTCATCATCGTCGTCATCGTCGCCATCATCTTCCTCATCGTCGTTGTCATTGTCATCATCGTCGTCATTGTCGTCATCATTGTCGTCATCGTCGCCATCATCTTCCTCATCGTCGTTGTCATTGTTGTCGTCGTCATCGTTGTCATCATCGTCATCATCTTCCTCATCGTCATTATCGTCGTCATCGTCTTCCTCATCGTCGTTATCATTGTCATCATCGTCGTCATCGTCGTCATCATCGTATGCGGCGACACGGCCCAACGGTTAAGCGTCGCCTTCGCCGTTCGTTGCCGAGGTTTTTTTTGTTAGGCCGTGACTGGCCCACTTTTTTCGGGCCTAAGGTACACAACAGAGCCTCCGCACTGCTGGGTTGGTTGTGGGGGGGAGGGTGGGTTTTGTGGGGGGCACGCGGGGAGGGAGGGGGGGGGGGCGTCTCTTGTTCCAGCGTTCCCCTTCGCCGAATGCGGAGAAAATCTGTCGAGTCAAGACGAGCGAGAGTCTGCTTGGTCATCTTGAGTATGTGGTTTGCTGCCGCGGACGTTCCTGTGTACCGTTGTGGTTGTTTAATGGACCCTGTGAACTGTGTTTTTTGTTCGTACGGCTTTACACTCATAAATCCCGTCTTCCCCCCCCCCCCCTGCCTTGACACCTTTGGCCAAAGTTGGGCAAACGGCGTGCCAGGTCGCGGAGGGAGATTCGGTAAACACCACGCCGTGCGACGCCGCTTTGCCGTTGTGCCGGCGAGCGCGCGTAAGCGAGAGCTCGGGCCCGCTCGCGGGGAAGTAAATTCCCGTTGAGCGAAAGAAAGAAAATAACAATAATTTGACATTTCAATAAACCGGCGTTGGGGTAGACGGATGGGTGGCTCGGTCTCACGGCAGTGGATGCACGCTCGCTCGCGCGCACGCAACGTACGTGCATGAACAAAACAAATACCCTATTTGGCCTGGATTCATCGTTTGAACCAGCTGAGTGAATCTTCACCTTGTGTAATGGTCTGCTAGCAACCAAAGGGGGGGACGGTGTGCGTTGGGAAACCGCAGCCGTCTTTGTTTCCTCAGTGCTGATTATTCACGCACCGCAACGGGAACTCATTCAAGGGTGAGCGGACAGACGAGGTCCAGAATCCGAATTCAGATTTGTATAAATTGGCTGAATGCATCTTAAATAAAAATAAAAATCGAGTCAATATTGGGCCCTCCTGAGTCCTTGGACCCAGTGTGCCTTTCCTGGATAAATAAATAATCGGGTGCCGTGGTGGCGAGATGTTAACTACATTGCCTGGTATACAGGAGGTCGTGGGTTCGATCCCGGCCTTGACGATGCCTGTTGTATATTTGGAGTTTGCGTGTCTCTCTCTCTCTCCCCGTGATCGCGTGGATTTTTCTCCAGTTTTTCTCCCCCACGTTTAGAAATTACCATCACTCGTTTAGAGCATTTGGCTGCTGATATAAATGTCCACGTGATGATAAGCCACATTCCCGTTGAGCTATCATTTGTGGCCAGGTCGCCTCTTAAAAAAGTGCGCTGTGTAAAAAAAGTAATTCTTATTTTTATTAGATATTATTTTCTTGGGAGCGATATTTAGGTCACCAATGCATCTCGCGCGCTTGTTGGCCCTGTTACGGAAGCACCACGGCCGGAGTCGCCGGGGGGGCGGGGGGGGGCAGCCTCGCGCCCGCGGGTACTTGAAGGTTATTCGAGGTGTAGGAATGTGTACGTTTAATGGCGAGGGCCATTATAAAATTGCGCGTGTGATTTGGACTTTTATTAACAAGGGCAGCGGCAATTGTGTTTTTGTATATTTATTTTTTTAACTCGTTCATGCCCCCCGCAAATCTCGGCGTCCTCGACCACGTTGTTGCGCCGTGCGGCTCGCTCCAGCGGTTTTATGCGCTAAAACCCGAAGGCCCAAGTTCGATTCCCGGCCATGACCGCGTGGAAGATTCGTGTTCTTGATTTAACTGTGAGACAGCCTGTAGAGAGGGGGAGGGGAGGATGGGGGCATTTTCGCCGATACACATTTTAAGGACACCCATCATCCCGTAAGATGCATGCAGGGTAGAAAGCAAAAAAATAAGATAACAGCGTCGTATGCGGCAAAAGCGAGAGAGATATTCGCAGCGTGCTTTGCATGTGCGGGTGACGGCAGCCGTCCTTGCGTTGCGTTACGCTCTTCGCGAAGCCGGCATGGGTTAGCAGAAACAAACGGCGAGTTCATGCGCTAATGGAAATTTTTTGAAATTAAAACGAAAAAAAAAGAACATTTTTACAAAATGCGCTCAGTGTTTCCAACTGAAGAGCCTTAATTTGGATCGAGAGATTAAGGAGGGGAGGCAGTTTGGGGAAAGTGAGAGAGTGGGAGGTTGGGTCCAGTCAGTAACAGGAGTGGGTCATTAACACGAGAGGGGAAATTCCAACATTTTGCAACTTCAGTTTCAATTCTGGAGAAAGAAAACACACTTTTTTTGGGAGGAGGGGGGTTATTGCAATTACTTCTTACTCTGTCGTACTTGGGTTGGGTGGGGGCGGTAAATCGTGAATGTTCCGAGGCATTTTATTCATATTCAGCGATACGGCCAGCCGCGCTTCAACGGAAAAGTAAAAAAAACGAGCAATTGGGGTTTTTTTTTGCGAAAATAAAATACAAAAATGACAACTGAAATTCGCAGCCAACGACGCCGTCACTTGAATATCTCGCCGCGTTCCGTCGGCAGTTGTGCAAAGCGAGCGGGCCTCGAGTGAATGTCCGTCGCTTTGTGAAAAGTTACGAAACCTCAGACGCCACGTGGCAATTCGTTTGAACGCTGTGAAAATGCGCGTGTTCGCTTGACGCAAATTTTTGAGTTTTTCATTTGCGTACGGATGCGTGCGCACGCGTATGTGCGTGTGTGTGTGTGAAGCGACAGCGCAACGGTTAGTGCGCCGCGCTCCGTAGCCAGCGACCCGGGTTCGAGTCCCGCTCACGGCCATCGCCGGTGACGGTTGTCTGAACCGTATCCTGGGCCTTCCCGAAAAGGTCGATTCGGCCTCAAATGAGCACGTTTGTGCGGTGTGTAAATAGCGCCACCCCATCATCGCGTGCCGTGCCGGCCTTCATAGGTGCTACTCGCTAACAGCACTTGCCAGAAAAGTCTGTTAAGGCTATACGGGTGGGGGGGGATCTTTGTCTTTTGTTTGTTACATTTTTATGACCGATGTTAATGATAACCTCGCGAATGCCTGCACTTTCTAACTGTTTGGCGACGTAAAAAATGCAATGCGAGCCGCAGGAATCTTAATGACATTTTCTTTATTTGAGGTAATTCCAGGCCAGCGAATTGCTCTTTATTTAACCACGCTAGAGGCCAATGAGATAAATGTGGACAGCTCGTACACAGCATAATAATAGTTTTGCGTCTTTGTGCGAAAGTATGTAAATAGCAAAACAAGCAGACGATATGTCCCCTTCGCGTACAGTCCGTCTCTCCAAAGATTTTGAGTGTTTCTACCGCAACCCATCGGCCGCACGGCCTTCTGGGGTGTGCGTCATTTCATCGCCGCTAATTCAATAGGAGGTTTCGACACACAGCGTCTCATCAGCAGTCAGGCTTGCCTGAATCAATGCTGGCGAACTTGCCGATATTACAGGCACGGATCATCTCTGTTCACGATGTGGCGTTCCTAGTTTCAATATATCAATTGCCGTGTACCGTGCCCTTGCCTATACGTACGTACGAATGTTGAACTTCTTTTGCACAGCACGTGGCCAACCACGCGCTAATCGGTAGAAGGACAACAAACTAAACACAACAAGCGGTTCTAAAGAAGTGACTTTGTCAATCCAGACGATTTAAAAGTGCCTTCCTGATATCGGAAGGAAGAGCGGCGTTCCAGACGGCCACAGAAGCGCATGTGAAAGCGCCACGCCACGCGGTGTGACCGCCCCCCCCTTGTTCGATGGCTTCTGCCAAAAAATACGTAACGTCGACCGTAATGGAGAAGCGATTTCTGCTTCTAGAAGCCGGCCGGGGGGGGGGGTCGCGGTTTGCGGCAGTGCTCGGCCACCGTCCGCGGGTCTCGTGGCTCGGTCTTGAATTGACCACCTCTCCTCTTCTCTCTCCGTCCTCATCAGCTGTACGAGCTGGACGATGACCCCAAGAGGAAGGAGTTCCTGGACGACCTCTTCAGCTTCATGCAGAAACGAGGTGAGCGAACCGGGCCGTCCGCCAGTGTGTGTCCCCCCCACCTCCCCCCCCGCTTAAGCGAGTACCTGGCGCTCGTGAATAGTGGAAACAAAAATCGGGCGAAGAGCGTCGGCACGAAAAGTGACCCCAATGCCGCCGCCGCCACCATGGAGGCGTTCGATGGCGCAGCAATTGGCGACTTCCCGACGTTTTTGGCCCCGCGTCCCCGGCCACGCGACGGACGGGGGAAACGTGGGGACGCTGCCGTCGCGCAGAGCGAGGCGCGTGGGCGGCGCGACCCCCCCAACGGCCGCGGTCGGAGAGCTTGGAGGCGATGGGAATCCCACTCCGATTTTTTTTTGTTCATTCGAATCGGGAGACCGTTTCGAGCTTCCCATACCCAATCGCCGCGTCTTATCGCAAAACCACCTAATTTTACCAAACCGACAAAAAATGCATTGCAACATTGCTGCTTCTGCTTGCAAGCTCCTAAAGGGTTACAATTGGTTACATGTGCACACGCACGCATGCATGCACACAACAACATCGGCCGCCGTTCGCCGCGACGTGGCGGTGACGTCACTACGGCGCTCGTGCCAGGCTAGGTGCGCGCACGCACAAAGACAAGTATTTCCCGCATCGATTAACTGTTTAGCATGTGCTGTTAGCGGGCACCTATGAAGGCCGGCACGGCATACGAGGGGGTGGGTGGCCAGCACCACGCCCGGCCGCCTTTGTCTCCCCCATTGGCGATGTTTACCACACCACACCGGTGATGCATTTTTGAGGCCGAGTCGACCTAGAGGAGGCCCAGGGCCGGCTCAGATAATCGTCATCGGTGTTTGCCGTAAGCGGGAATCGAACCCGGGTCCCCGCTGGGTTCGTAGCGCTAACCGCTACCACTACACGCTGACAAAGACAAAGATGCCCCTTGTAGCCTCAACAGACTGCTGGGGCAAGTGCTGTTAGCGAACACCTCTGACACACGCGCACACACAGGCATAAACCACGTGTGTTCAAACACGCGTCGTCATACGTTGGCATTTAAGATCGCGCGGGTAAGTCCCATCAAGAAAGCGAAGACTGCGCCGGTGGGAAAAAGGTTTGTCCTGACACCGCGCCACTGTCGGGGATTGATTATTTTTATTTTTTTGCCAAACATCGCCAACAATCTGCGTGTAATTTTAGTTGCCTGTAATTTGCCTTCTAAATGGTCAATTCGGTTAATTGAAACGCGGCATTGAAGTAATTACGATTGTCACATGTTATTTGGTCACGTGTAGTTTTTTTTGCCTCGGGTGTGTTGCGTGTTTTTTTTTTATCCCTCTCTTAATATAATTTAAATGCTACTATAATTTCTCTCCACCCCGAATAAAATGTTTACACGCGTAAATGTAATGAACATTTCTCCCCGCGCGTGATAAATGAAATACATATTTTTTTAAATTACCGACAGAAGTTCCCAGCATGCTTTGCATGTCAAGGGGTGACGGCAACCGTCCTTGCGTGCACGTACGTTTCTACACGCGGCCTGCGTGCGCTAGCGGAAACAAATAACTTAATGAATGTGCTTACGCAAATTTGGAAATTAAAAGAATGGCAGAATCTTTTTTTACTTTTGCGAAATACGCTCAGTGTTCCAACTGACGAAACCACCGCCAATGTAACCTCACCAAACATTGTTGTTTTTTGTCTAATGATGAATTCTCACGCGTGCAATTCGACGCTTGCATCACCGGCATGTATGTTGAACTGCTTTTGCATCGTAGCCAACCGTGCTAATTGGAGGTGCGGGCGAAGGCCAACAAACTAAACATAAAAGCAGTTCTCAAGAAATTAGTTCTCAATTTAGACGATTTAAAAGTCCAAAGCTCGAGTGCCTTCCTGATATCGCAAGGAAGAGCATTTCAGACGGCCAGCGTGTGAAAGCGCCGCGCGATGCGGTGTCCGTCTTTGTTCGATGGCGAGCGGCCATCTGAATCAACGTTAACCTGTTAACCTGTAAAACAGTCGTGCTGTCACATCGCCCATTGGCTGATGATGACACACTGCGCGCTTAACCAAGCCGCCGACGGTGGCGAGTGTGATGTGTGGCGGTGACTGCGGCGGCGGCGGCGCTGGCGATGATGGCGATGGACCTCGAGGGGGATGATGGATGATCTCGGGGGGCTCGCGACGGCTCGCGACGCAGCGCGAGCGAGCGGCCGTTGCTCACAAATCTCGCTTTATTAGCTTAGGAGCCATTACCCCATTCGTGTTCGCGCTGAATAATGGAGCTGCGGGAAACTTGAGCGGCGGCGACATATTGGACGTGTGCACGCGCCACATTTCGTGCGCGGTCTCCTTGTACGACGTGAGTTACCTGGGTGCCGCAAACACATCGCCGCTGGAGAGACAAAGGCGGGCGAGCGTGGTGCTGGCCACCCACCCACCCCCTCGTGTGCCGTGCCGGCCTTCATAGGTGCTACCCGCTAGCAGCACTTGCTCCATCAGTCTGTCAAGGCGGCACGGGCGATCTTTGCCTTTGTACTTGCGCCCTTGATTCCTTGACTTTGGCGCAGCATCCCTGCGTACAATAGAGGCCTTTTATTCATATTCACTGACCTTCAACCCAGTGTCACATGCGGGTGTTGTATTTGGTTTGGAGCGAGCGGGGAGAGTGGCAGGGAGAGAGCGAGTTGGGCAGAGGGAGAGAGAGAGAGGGGAGAGCGCCAAAGAGAACGAGAAAGGAGGGAAGAGAGGGAGAGAGAGGAATGGAGCTGAGAGAACGAACGAGATGTGGGGGCGAGAGGGGAAAAAAAACAAGATCTGCATTGCAGGGGGGGTGAAGAATGAGTGAGGAGGACGGGAGAGGCGGAAGGGGAGAGTGGAAGGGAGCATCTTTACGAGAGCGAATGCCAACGAGGGAAGAAGCAGAAGAGAGAGCGATGGAGAGAGCTGTGTAATTGGAGAGATTTGAGTGAGCGAAAGAGAGATGGGGGTGGTTGTTGGGAGGGGGGGGTGGGTGTGAAGGAAGGAGCTGGGGGGGGGGGGTGTATGTTGGAAACAGCTGTTGCTAGCTTGGACTCGAAGTTGATTTTATTTTTGTTTGTTTGGTGAAAACCTAGACATTTAGTGGCCTGTGAAAGGGGTCCGCGGGGGTCAATGGTGGCGGTGGGGGGGGGGGGGAGCGGTGGCGCAGTGGTTAGCGCTCCGCTGCACCGCGAACCCGCACAACCCGCGTTCCGATTCCCGCTCACGGCCACCAACACCGGTGACGATTACCTGAACCTGTCCTGGGCCCGTCCCCTAGGTAGGTCGTATCGGCCTCAAATGAGTGCCCCTGGCGTAAACACCACCACGCAGGCGGCCGGGCGTGGTGCCGGCCGACACCACCACCTCGTGTGCCGGGGGAGGGGGGGTAATCTTTGTTTCCGGTGGTGGCGGTGCTGGCAGCAGTGGCGTCGATCTTTTAGCGAACGCACGGTCTGGCAAGCGCAGTGCGGGCACATTCAGCTACCCCGCGAGGTTGGCAGCCTGGCGGCTCCCTTTGAGGACGCAGATTCGTGACGCCATTCGTCGAGGGCCGCCGTCTCGGATTCACGCCATTGCAATTGCGGCTCTTGGAATATTTCGTTTTTACGGAATTCGAAAAAAACAATGGATTTTCTTGTTATTTTGGTTTTGCCGTGCCCCCCCCTCCCCCGTGCTATCCTAATGGTGCCACAACTCCACCCTGCCCCCCACGGCACCCACGCCCCCCCCCCCCAAACACAGCGCACAGTTTAAACATCCTTTGGGATGAGACGGAACACATTCCCCCCTTCATCACCGCGCGCCCTACACCGCAAAAGCCACCAACGCCACTACCACCATGACCACCGCCGCCGCTACTACCACCGCTTCCACCGCTAACCACTACCGCCGTTACCACCGTGAACTACTACCGCCGTTACCACCGTGAACTACTACCGCCGTTACCACCGCTACCACCACTAACCACCGTCCGCTACCCAGAATTACCGCCCCGCGCAACAACAACGACGGCACAATGACAGCGCTACGCCGGGCAATGCTCTTTTTTTCCAATTCCAATTTGATAGACGCGCCCGGAACGACACCTCAATTTTTTGTGTGTGTGTTGTGTTCGGTATCGCATGGCGAGTTACGTGGCAGCCCCCAACCACCACCCACAGCCGCGCCCCCCCTTCTTCCCCCACACGCCACAGCCGCCACCACCGCCGCCTCATTGTGCCCGGGGATCTTTAACAAACGGCGCATTGTGCGCGGAGGAGTGTGGTGGGTGGGGGGGGGACATGGAATACGCGGGCCGTATCGCGTTTCGGCCCATCCAGTGTAAATGACCGCTTTTGCGCGGCAGCTGTATTAAAGTTTATTGCCGGGCACACGCGATATGGCCGCGTGGCGATTAGCGCGCAGTTAAAGGGGGCTGCTGAAATGCTGGACGGTGCGGGATTGGGGGGGAGGCGGGCGAGCGACATATGCGTCTTCTCTTGTGTACATTACAATAAAGCATCTATGATGGAGGCTTTTTTTTTAGATCGCGTAAATATAAATGTGTCGATTTAAAGCTTTCGTGACTGCAGGGATTCATCTTCTTGGTTCTTTCGGTGAAGTCACGTAGAAGGGAAATAATAAAAATGAAACATTATAAAATTGTCACGTTAGAATTATTTAATGTTTAAAATTGTATTATTTTATTATTTCCCTTCTACGTGACTTTACCGAAAGAACCAAGAAGATATAAATGTGTCGTCAAAAACCCCGCCACCAACTCGACACAGCCAATTAGTGAGGGTTTTTTCACGTAAAACGAAACGTGCCATTCCGTGACTGGTTGGAGAGTCCGTTAACCCACGGCGACGTTTACGAAGAAACACATTTCTCTCACACAACGGCCCGTCCGTGTGTCCCGGAAGTACAACGTTTACGGCCGCGTTGAATTCAAGACGAGGCCGTCTCTGGGCAGTTCGATCTCAGCAACTCCGAATGGCAAACACGCGTTCCAGACGGTCACTTTG